TTTCCCTCCAGGGGGCTGAGGGATTTGCCACTGGTTGTAATAGTCCTGGCGATTTCCCTTGCAACCTCTTTGCAGACGCACATTTTGGGCAACTGGCCACATAACTTTCTATGTCCTTTTTTAATTGATGGCCACCAAAATTGCCGTTTAATTAAGTGTAAAGTTTTTACAAATCCAAAATGCCCTGCTGATTTTGTGTCGTGACAAAGCTGCATGAAAGTGACTCTTTGGGTTGTTGGTATATATAACTTTTCCCTTACCCAAGGCAACCCGTCTCTCATTGTGCACACATTTTTGTTTTTCTGGAACCATTCGTCTGTTTCCAAACTTTTTCTGAATTCAATTCCAGTTTGGCTGTCCAGTTGTGGTTTTAATTTAGCTTGGGTTCTTGTGATTACTGGTGCTGCCAGTTGTGACTCTGCCATCATTGGTTTAGAGTCTATGGCTTGCGCGCTGTTATATTGGGGCATGCGAGATCTGCCTGGAAGTTCTTTCTCCCTGGTAAATGTTTGAGCTTAAATTGGAACTGGTGAAAATGCTGGGACCAGCGGGCTTGTTTGGGATTGAGTTTCCTGGGCATTCTCAGGGCTTCCAAATTTTTGTGATCAGTCCACACCTGGAAGGGGATTTAGTGCCTTCCAGGAACTGTCGCCACGTGAGTAATGCCCAACGTATCCCATAAGCCTCCTTTTCCCATACGGGCCAGCGCTGTTCTGTTTCCGTGAGTTTCTTGGATGTATATGCACAGGGTTGCAATACTCCATCATCATTTTCTTGTAATAGAACAGCCCCCACTGTCACATCACTTGCATCTGCCTGTATTACGAAGGGCTTATCCATGTCTGGGTGCCTTAGTACTGGTTCGGCAGAAAAAAGTCTCTTTAGTCTCTCAAACACTGCTTGGCACTCCATTGTCCATGTTAATGGCTGGCTAGGTTTTACTGAGGACGTTCCCTTCGTTTTTAGTAAGTTAGTGAGGGGCAAGGTTATCTGGGCAAATGAGGGGATGAATTGGCAGTAAAAGTTTGCAAAGCCCAGGAAACTTTGTAGTTGCTTTCTTGTGCGGGGTGGTGCCCAATCTAATACTGCTCTGACCTTCTCTGGGTCCATTTCAATGCCCTGGGGGGATATGTGATAACCTAGGTATTCTATCCTTTCCTGGTGGAATTCGCATTTTGAGAGTTTGGCATATAGGTGGGTTGCTCGCAGTTTCTTTAAAACCGCTCTGACAAGGTTGACATGTTCCTCTTTTGTTTCAGTGAAGATAAGAATGTCGTCCAAGTAAACAAGGACCCCCTTAAACAGGTGCTCCCTTAGAATGTCATTGATTAATTGCATAAAGACTGCAGGGCCCCCTTGTAATCCAAATGGCAAGACTTTGAATTGATAGCACCCCATGGGGCAGTTAAATGCGGTCTTCCATTTGTCCCCTTCCTTAATTCTCACGCGATAGTACGCTTACCTTAGGTCTAGTTTAGAAAAAATTTTCCCTTTCGAGAGGTGTGACAGCATGTTTTTCATGAGGGGCAGAGGGTATAGTTTGCTTTCACTGATTGTATTCAGGGCCCTATAATCCATGCATAAGCGTAAAGAGCCATCCTTCTTCTCTCTAAAAAGGACTGGGGCAGCCACTTTAGGCTTGGCTGGCTCAATGAAACCTCTCTCTAGGTTTTTTTTTTATGAATCTTTCCATTTCCTCCTTCTCCTTTGGGCTCATGGAGTATAATCTGGGTTTCGAGAGTTTTGCCCCAAGCTTGAATTCAATGGCACAGTCTGTGGGTCGGTGGGGGGGTGGGGCTCATTCGCCCTCTCCTCACTGAAAACTTCAGCCAGGTCTCTGTATTCCTCTGGTATTTCTGCTAGTCCCTTTTCCTCTCCTATGGATACTTTTTCTATTCTTGATTTTGGTAGCCCCCCTTCAGATTTTAAGTCCATAGGGTCCCCCTTCGGGAATTTGATTTCTGTCGTCCTCCAATTTACCCAGGGGTTCCATTTTTTCAACCATTCCATCCCTAGGATCATTGGGCATTCCATGCCTGGGGTCACCACAAACATAATGTCCTCTTCATGTTTGCCCAGGGAGAGGTGTATTGATAGAGTGGCTAGGGTAGCTGGCACCCCCCCCCTGCTATGGATCCATCTAACTGGCCAAATGAGATTGGTTGTTCCAGTCTCCTCGATGGAATGCCCAGATTCCCCACTAATGTTGGGCTAATGAGGCAGCGGGTGTAGCCAGAGTCTATTAAGGCTTTCACCTTCACGGCTTCGGGCATGGGGGGAATTAATATAATCACTGTCTTGAAGATGGGTGCGATGCATCCACTTACCAGGAGTTCACCCTCCGAGCTGTCATATGAGGTGTCCACACGCCCTGTGGTGTAGGTTGGAGTTCTTTCCCCCTAATGAGCAGAGGTGGCGGGTTCCGCAATTTCCATCATTCTCATGGCAGTTTCTTTTGGCTTAGCTGAAGACTTTCTGGATTTGCTGATTGGAGATCTTTCTGGGTTGTGCTGGGGGGCTTTGGAGCGGCATTCTACAGCTCGATGCCCTTCTCTTCCGCACTTGAAACACCCCATTTGCTTCTTGGCTGTAGCCAATGGTTTCACTGGTTTGTGTGTCAGCTCAGGCAGGGGGCGGCTCCATTGTTTTCCTCGGCGATGTCTCTTCAATATGTCGATCTCTGCTTCCTCTGCCAAGATGTACCATTCCTGAAGTTGGTGTGGGTTCCCTTGGGGCAGGCAAGCATCATATAGGTCATAATTTAGTCCGTCTTTGAAATGACTAAGGAGGATGTCTTCTGGCCAGTTCAGTTTGCTGGCAATGGCCCGGAATTCTTGTGTATATTCAGCCACCGGGCGGTTGCCTTGCCTCATTATTTTTATCCTTTCGCGGGCTTTGTGATCAGCCAGGGGGTCTTCAAATCGTCTTCTCAGAGAGGACATGAAACGGTTGAAGTCGTTGAGTTCTGGGGCATTGGAGTCGTGCAAGTTCACCACCCAATCTGCAGCCGGTCCGTCCAGGGCAGATTGCATGATCCGGATGCGGGCTTTGTCACTGGGGATGTCCCGCCCGTATTCCTCCATGTAGCTGAGGACTTGGGTTAGGAAAAACCCCAAGCGTGTTGGCTCCCCTTTGAATTTCACCTCCAACGCCGGACGTCTTGGAATGGATCGATGCCTCCGTTGTTGGTGGTAGTGTCCTCTGTCCAGATCACCATCTGTGGTTCGGTAGGGGGTGGGGACTACTGGATCAGCAGATGTCCCCGGGGCTGCAGGTTACACTTCCCCCTCGATATCTCTCCTTTGCGGCTCCAGGAGCTGGGGCAGCCGTAGGGCTCAGGATTCTCCTCTTCTAGGGAGCTGAGAGTTCTCTTCATCAGGTCAATAGCTTTCTCTAGGATCCAGTCTGAGTACGGTGCCCAGCTTTCTCCCTTTTCACTTGCGTGCAGGGATTTCTCCATCTCCTGCTTCCATTCTGGTTGCTTGGTCCCCCGTCTCAGGGTCACCTTTCTTGATTCCTTTCCCCACTCACTTTTCTTTCCAACGCCCATTGACCAGCGAGGCTTGTGGTCCCGTGTCTCCACCACTTCTTCTCCTGAGGAATCTGACCTCTCGGATCCCAACATCTGGCAAGGTTCCAATTGGGTCAGCGGCTCTCTTTCCAGGGAGTTTTCCCCCTTTTTGCTCCATTGTCTGACATGGTAATTTTTTGCAAAATCCCCCAGCAAGGGTCTCCCTTCCAGGTGGATTAATTTTGCAAGTCCTGTCTAATGTAAGGACCCACCCCACTTTGCATCTTAAGAAGACAGAACTCTTGGAATAATTCTTCCAACAGGCATCCTTTATTAAGAGAAAATGGTTGCATGCATTCTAGACAGGACTTGGGGTCCAAGCTCTCCCATTCAAGGTTTTAAGGGGTTCCCCAGTAGCCCCACCCAATCACCCCCCTCTTCCAGCGACAGTCTCGGGCATTGCATTCCCACCTCCTTTTTCTTACTGCCGGCTGGATGGAGACTTCAAAGAAAACTACATGAAAGGTAATAGCCCCATTCTTATGGTTAGCTCTTTTGGCAATACACACAACCAGTTCCTTTGAAGTGTACCGAAGGAAGTGAGGGCCATAAAGCCCCTTTGTTCACCCCCTTCCCTTCATCGTATGGCAGAATCCATAGAAGGCAGAAATGGGTTTTTTTATAATTGATAACTAGACATGAAATATAATTGGATTCTGACACCTGCTTTAGGTATGAAAGCTGTCTGCCAATTACTTTCTCTCAACCCAGCTCACTTCACAAGCTTGTTGCTTTTGGGAAAATAGGAAGAGGATAGCGTATTGTGTTGTTCACTGTCTTGTTATTTACAAAAACAAAATAATAAAAGGTGGGATACAAATAATTACAGTAATAAAAATAGTGGCAATACCTGGAGACAGTAGAATAGGAGGGAACGAACTGGAGAAGAACACAAAATTCAAAGACTTGCCAATAGAAATAGAACAGTTGTGGCAAAAGAAAACAAAGCTAGTACTGATAGTAATGGGTGCAATCCCACAAGAATTAGAGCACCAGTTGAACATCATCAGCAGTGACAAAATCACCATTAGTCATTGCAAAAGGCAGCTTAACTTGGAACAGCTTAAATTCTATGATGATAGTTTTAATACCATCAACATCCACATCTGCCTATTCCATGTCATTGGAAAGGAATCCATAGATGGATAAAAACGTGAAATCCAGTCTGAACATTTGGCTGGCTGTGTGACGAACCATAGTCCATAAATAGAGTGCATATGGTTTGCCATTTCTCATTATAATAGTAATGATGCTTGCTGTTATGACTAGTATTGCTTACTACAACTATAACTTACAATTGGCGTATCCATAGAATATGCTAAAAAAATTCAAGATGGTGGTTACAATGGTGTGCTTGAAGCCCTAAAATGCACCTAGAACATGAGTGAAATATAGTCCCATTTGATTGTTGCCTTTTGCTTTGTTTCAGCACCTAGTTTTGATTATGGAGACATACCTTCACCACTGGGAGAGTCGGATAGCACCATCACTGTTCTCCTGCGGCCAGCCCAGGGCAGGGGTGCCCCAATCAGGTATAATAAGGATAAATTAATGATTATCTAATTTCATATTTTTAACAATGCAATTGTTTTTTATTTCACAATATTTACAGCCCATCCCATTCCTAGCAGGTTCGGGGCAGAGGAGATGAGGAGTTATTAATAAAATCAAAGGAAACAAAATGGAAAGCTCTGTATACAAAATTAAATTAATTTCATTATAAAGAGTCAACAATAACAGGCGCCCTTTAAACTAAACTAATAACTGAATGCAGGCTGGAATGAAATTGCTTTGAAATACCAGCAAGGTTGGCTTGGTAAACCATTATTGTTTGAAATTCATGGTTATCGGTATCCTAAGAAAAGGTATTATGGAATGCAATGCACAATATGGATATATTTTTGAAAGGAATGTAAAAATGTAAAAAATGCATTACATTAGGGAGAGTTGTTTACAAAATTCTACACTGAGAAACATAGCAAAAACAAAATCTGTAAGTTGAAAGAAATGTGGAGCATTTCAATGCAGAGTTCTCTAGTTTGACAAATGGAGCCTGACATATTTCCTGAAATAAGAAACAGAGACTACCGGTAACCAAAATTGACAGATTGGCCGATCTTTATAGGACAGCCAGTCCTGTGCAATGGATCATGAATTTAGTCTGAATTTTGAAATAAGGCTATTTCCTTTTATGAAGGGGATTTATTGCATTCCAGAGTCTCCTCTTTTCTTCTTCCCTCTTATCTTTCTTTGCTTTCTAAAAATGTTAACTGCAAAATATGCTTGTCCTGCAAGGCTGAAATGCCCCCTTTTATTGAGATGCTTACCTCTTTTGCTTCATAGATAACGTATGGAGAAGGGATCCATTGAAGAAAACTGTAGAGATTAAATATATACTGTAATACTCCTGATACAGGTAGTCCTCGACTTACGAACCCAAGTTGGATCAGAATTTCTGTTGCTAAGCAAGGTGATTGTTAAGCAAGTTGCACTCAGTTTTACAACCTTTATTTTGCCACAGTTGTTAAGCGAATTGTTGCAGCTGTTAGGAGAATCCAATTTCTCCCACTTGACTTGCTTGTCAGAAAGCAGCTGGGAAGGTTGCAAATGGTGATCATATGATCCTGGAATGGTGCAAACTGTAAATTAATACCAGTTGCCAAAGTGCCCAAATTTTGATCATATGACTTTTTTCAGTGCTATTATAATTATTCAACAAATGATTGCAAATCAAGGACTATCTGTACTCAGTTTAAGGAAATATTTTGGGAACTTCAGCATTACCTCTGCTTTGGCCTTCTATACATTTTGGAAGTTCGTATCCATGAGTTTTGATCGTGTCGAAGAGTTCTGCATGTGTAGTTCTCAGTTCTTGGAATACTGAGTTCTATGGGATAATTCTAAGACAGGCTTCTTCAGGCTTGGCCCTTTTATGACTTGTAGACTTCAACTCCCAGAATTCCTCAGCCAGTGTGCCTGGCTGAGGAATTCTGGGAGTTGAAGTCCACAAGTCATAAAAGGGCCAAGCTTGAAGACCCCTGTTCTAAGATTTTGGATGATTTGGGGGAGGGACTTGGCTTGGTCTAATATAATTTAATATACAGGATGTCTGGATGTTCAGTAGATGCCCATCCACAACTAGAATTGGTTAATTTAGTGATCAAGATAAATAAAGGGATATACTATAATTAGGCATGGCAATTGTTTTAAAAAGCATTAAAACAAAGTCATTGACTCTTTTTGCAAGAAGGGAAGCATTGAGAACCATTGGCCCTAACTGTGATATCCATAAATTGAATACTTCTACCTAGAAATAATAATTTTCTTTTGTTTAATTTTCTTTCATTGGTACACACAGTTGTTCAGCTTTCACTCCTGGAGCATGTTTATCCTGTTTCAGTAATAACATTCTGATACTTTTCATTTTAAATAACCTATTAAAACATAATCCAATGAACTATTTCAGTATTTTGGGTTCCTTTCTCCTTTCCACCAATTAAGCTGTAGACTTCCTTGGAAAGAAAAATATGTCCCTAAGAAAGTGAAGGTTTAAATTTTGCCTCCAGGCCTTTTAGAACAGCGGTCTCCAACCTTAACAATTTTAAGACTTGTGGACTTCAACTCCCAGAATTCCTCAGCCAGCCATGCTGAGGAATTCTGGGAGTTGAAGTCCACAAGTGTTAAAGATGCCAAAGCTGGAGATCCCTGTTTTAGAGCACTTTCCTACGTTAACGCCTGTGGTTGCTGGGAGGATGTGTGGGTGCTACGTTGACAGCCTCTTGTCACACTCTTGCATAGCTTTGTTCTTGCAAGTGCACAAATATAACTAGTTGGCTTTGAAAACCTCATTATGTTAACAGCTGAATTATACTATTGGGATTTTGTCAGGAGCTTTCTCTTCCAGACAAAACTGAGGGATGTGACTGTCAGCTTTATTTGTTTTAGGCTCTTCAGTTAACATTTTTTGTGTCCCAGTGTATGTGGAAGAATAAGGCAGAATTCAGCGCATCCTATGTAGTTTTCTCTATCCATGTATCTGCCTCATACAGGGAGGGAAACATTTGGGTTGGTTTTGCTTTTTCAGACCAGGTGTTAACAAAACTTATTTCAATGTGTGAGACTTTATTAGGTATTTAAACAGCTACCTTAGATACACTGAAAGTACCTGTTCTGATGGTGGTAGTAAGGTAGCTATATGGTTGCCAAAGCTTCTGTGTTGGGATTTTCAGTGAGAATCTTCCAAAGGAAGAATAGAACAATTGTATGTTGCGTTGATGGGTGATAGAAGAGTGAGCATCTTTGAATGTGTTGTGTACACAAGTTAAGAGATTCTTTTCCTTGAGCTTTTGGCAGTGAGGGAATGGCAGTCAGCAAGATCCAAATTTAGCAGCTGCCTTCCTATCAGATTGGTTGGCCAAAGTCTGTATCTGTCTTCCTTGGGGAGCTATTTTGGTAATTTCAAAGATGGAAAACCGATGATAGCGCATCTGCTTTGGTAAGTCATTGAAACAGATCAGAGATGCCTCCATAATGAAAATGTTTTTGGCCAGATCCCTGGTATGTTATTAGCCGGCCCAAATTGAGGCAAACTGCAGGAACCCAGAAGCTCTATGAATTTATGTTATCATTCACATAACGCAGCAGCACCTTTTCTCTCTTTTTCTCTTGAGAATAAGAGGGTCTAGAGGTCCTATTTGGAAATAATAGGTGGAGTTTAAATGGGAATACTGCTAGAAACAAAAGCAGATGAAGCCATCTTTTCTCTTGTTGATACTCTCTTGTGATGGAATCTAGTAGCCTGGATTCCCAGGAAGAAGAGGGTACATTCCAGAGGAATATGAGACAACTCATCCAGATAGTTTATGTGAGAGAAAGAGGGTGAAGACAGTCCCTCCCTAAGAGTTCCCAGATTATATGATAGGTACAGATAGTCAGAGTGTTTAGTTTGACAAGATTATGTCTATGGCAGGGGTGTCAAACTCGTAATATCACGTGACATGTCGCAACGTATCACATCTTTTTTTCCAGTGCCGACAATGGAGTGGGCGCGGTTTCGCCATGATGCATCCTGCCCGTGGGCCAGCAGTTTGACACCCCTGGTCTATAGGTGTGGAAACAATACAGAACTCAGTTTGGAAGAACCACTACATGCTGTTCTTGGGTCTGAAAACCCCCTTTCCACTCTATTTCTTCCTCACTAGAGATTGCTCTTGACAAACTCCAATTTACAGCTTGCAGGAAACATTTGCAATTAGTCAAGAGCTGTGTAAAATTAAGTTAAGGGCCCCAGGTTGACAATGCTTATTGTTGACTATTATGATGCTGGTGATTGACTGTTATGATGTAGAATTGATGGGGAAAACCCTGCTGCTAATGTTCCATTTACAGGGCAATGCTTCTATGGGAAGACAAAATTATTAGTGAAGTTTTCAGGAGAAGCCTTTTGGACAATAGCATAAGCATTCCTCCTTCTATTTGACTCTAATTCTTAGTACTTTTGCTGATGGGAAATTTCTTGGAGGTTTCAGTCAAGCACAACCATGCTTACTTCATAGCATATTCTGCAATCTCTTAGTTTACAGGCACTTCCTCCAACACAGAACAATAGGGCTTTGAGAATCAAAAGTGTATCTGTTTCTTTCTTTACCCAGGAAATTTTATTGAAAGCAATTCATTTACCAGCAGTGAAGTGATGCCATACCTTTAGATGAAAAGATTTATTATCCACTACAAATAGATAAATCAGAAGATAGACAGTGTGGATTTAGAAAGGGCAGTGTAAGAGAACTAGCAGCCCCTCTTTGAGGGAGATGGATGGTTAAGAAGTGTGAAAAATAAATAACTAAACATAAATTAGTTTAGGATGGGCTTCATTTAACATCACCTCTTGTTTTTGCTTTCTCTTCCCAACCTTCTCTGCTTCTTGGGTTCCCAGCACATACCAAGTCATTGTGGAAGAAGACAGACCTAAGAAGATCAAGCGAGAGTTAAGTGGCCCAGAATGCTTCCCAGTGCCACTCACTTTTGATGATGCCATATCCCGTGGCTTGGTTCACTACTTTGGAGCTGAACTTTCCCCAAGCAGCCTCACAGAAGCCAGACCCTTCACTGTAGGAGACAATCAAACCTATAGAGGTTACTGGAATCCTCCATTGGAACCCAAGAAGGCCTATCTCATCTACTTCCAGGCTATGAGCAATCTCAAAGGGGTGAGTAGCAAACTCTGGGTATTGATTGGTACAACTCCCTCTTTAAAATATATGTGTTTCTATGCTTCTTTTCCGTACGCTGACTGTAATTTCCTATCAGGGTGAAATACCCAACAGTCTAACTTCAACAGTCTTACTGCAGTAAATGTCCCCACCACTTACTGAACCATGAGATGATTTCCTAACATTTAGGACTATAATTAAGGGGAGGAATACTTTCTTTGTATGTAAAGCATCCCAAATTGAGTTGCTTCTATTTCCAATTTAAAAAGACTAGCAAATCTTTAATCTTCATACTTGGGGAAGCAGTTGCCAGACAATCTAGCTAAATTGATAAATAACTTAGCAGTCTTGTATGCATGTAATGCAAGGATCCCATCTGCACCATTTGGTGACTCATATATATTATTTATGCATGATCTGGATTGCTTGTGCAGGAACGTATATATGTACACACATTGTACAGGCAATGTGCAAATTGGAGGGTCTTAAATGAAAATCAAAAAGCAGCCCACCAAACTTCATCACATTGAGATGACCAAGATTAGCAATTTATTCTCATTCAGTGCGAAATTGAATGATTCAATCTAATATCACAATTTGAGCACATTTAGAGATTCAGTTAAATTGTTTTTAAATCTTTTATGAGCTGCAGGATCTCTGGCAGAGCACAGAATTTATGTGCAGGAGCCACATCTCCAAGCATACCATCTCCAGTTCAAAACATCGGGCATCAAATGATGGGGAAAGCTATTTTATTGTTTATTATACAAGACAACATTTAGCATGATGCATCTTATCCTCAGCTTTGTTTTAAGGATATTAAATATGATCCCATCTCCCCCCTCCCCCCGCAAAATCAGATTTTTCTCTATCTATCTATCCATCAATCATCATGGTTCAGCACCGTACTATGCAGGTTTTGTATAACTATCTGATGGCGAGTAAGATCAATATTGAAATAAGATGTGAGAGCAATAGAAGATCACACAACTATCCAAGGGAAGAAAGCCATCAAACAATGGTTGTTATTGTTAGTTGTGAAGTCATGTCCGACCCATCGCGACCCCATGGACAATGTTCCTGCAGATCTTCCTGTCCTCTACCATCTTCTGGAGTCCATTTAATCTCACTCCTACTGCTTCAGTGACTCCATCCAGTCACTTCATTCTCTGTCGTCCCCTTCTTCTATTGCTCTCAATCTTTCCCAGCATTAGGCTCTTTTCCAATGAGTCCTTCCTTCTCATTAGGTGGCCAAAGTATTTGAGTTTCAACTTCAGGATCTGGCCTTCTATAAAGGAGTCGAGGTTGATATAAAGGACTCGCAGGAGTCTTCTCCAGAACCATAGTTTAAAGGCCTCAATTCTTTTGCACTCAGCCTTTCTTATGGTCCAACTTTCACAGCCATACATTGCAACTGGGAAAACCATGGCCTTGACTATATGCACTTTTGTTGGCAGGGTGATACCTCTGCTTTTTAGTATGCTGTCTAGATTTGCCATAGCTTTCCTCCCCAGGAGCAAGCATCTTTTAATTTCTTGTCTGCAGTCCCCATCTGTGGTGATCTTGGAGCCCAGGAAAATAAAGTCTGCCACTACCTCCATTTCTTCCCCATCTATTTGAAAGGAATTGAGAGGGCCGGATGCCATGATCTTGGTGCAAAGTGATTTAGATTTTTCTTTCTTTCTTTCTTTCTTTCTTTCTTTCTTTCTTTCTTTCTTTCTTTCTTTCTTTCTTTCTTTCTTTTTGTGCCTTCAAATCAGTATTTTTTTTTAATTCCTGGTGAGTGCCTGGAAAGATCCCTGCAGTTCTTTTGGCAAGATTTCAGAAGTGGTTTGCCATTGCCTGCTTCCCATGACTGAGAAAGAGTGATCTAAGGTAGAGTGTCCCTGTAATGTACTGAGTTTTACTTATGAAACAGGTGCAGGGAGCTGCACTGGAACTATTAGCAGACCACGTGGCCTGCTAGCCAGACTTGCTGTCTACAAGGTTAATCAGTATGCATTTGAGTGGGAGAATACAGTGCATTCATTGGCTGACAGTGCCCCAAGCTGAATGTATAAATAGGGGTGGAGCCATCTTTGTTTGAGTTCTGTTTTGTCTTCAATAAAGAAATACCTTTTTACTACTTCTGCCTCTTCAATGCTGAACCCAGCAGAAAACAGAACATTGGTGACAAAGGTGGGATCGTGCTGCCGCAAATTGAAGGGCTGATTCACAAGCAGGAAAAGGCCTAGCAAGCACTTAAAGGGATGGCATTCGAACCTTTTTCTCACTCTGCCTGCCAGTATGAAAACGCTGGAGGAGAGTGCTTCAAGGAACCGCCCTGGAACCCCTCCGGAAGCCTGCGCAGCATGAGGCATTAAAAAGGCCGCCAAAGACTCACCATGGTGAAGATAGGTCGTCTCTCAGAATTCGACGTTGCTCATCCTGAGAGGTGAAGCTCCTACGTCATGAGGGTTAAGAACTACTTGCAAGTCAACCAAGTTCGGGAAGATGGATTGAAGGCCGCGACACTGCTGTGTGTTTGCAGCCAAGCAACATTCGACATAGTGGAGAACTTGGTTGCACCAGCGCCATTGGAGTCTATTGCTTATGCTGAACTAAAAAAAATGCTCAAGGAACATTTTGAACTGAAGCTTTCAGTCATCGCTTGGCGACATGCCTTTGAACAGCAGGACCAGAGTCCCGGGGAGTCCACCGCAGTTTTCATAGCTGCTCTTCGTCAAGCTACGAGGCCATGAATTGAATTCAAGGATCTTGAAGAATGGTTATGGGACTGTTTAGTTTGTGGTCTGAGGAGCCGAGAACTTCAGTAAAAGATCTTTGCTAGAGAAACATGTTTCAAGATGCGTTGAGGGAGATAACGACTGAAGAAGCAGGAGGCAGAGCTGTTAAGGCCTTGAGGCTCTCCAAGAACCCTCCTTGCTTGGTGGATATGGTCCACCAAGAGGATGCTGAGAGGGTTGAAGACTCTGAATCGGACCATGAAATTGATCGGTTGCAGCAACCTCTAGAAAGAAGGTCTCAAAGACAACCTGACAAGGCAGTTCCCTTCTCTCTGTGTTTTGGGTGTGGAGGCTACCACAAATGGGCCAACTGCCAGTTTCGCACCGCAACTTGCTAGGCGTGTGGTAGGCAAGGCAAAATCACCGCCATTTGTTTGGGTCGCAGAAAAGAACGTCCAGCGGAAAAGTTGCCTCAGAAAGGTACCAGGGTCCCCAGTCAGAGCAGGGTGGGTTTTTGCACTAGTAGAAGGAGTGTATTTAGGACAGGCACACATTGCCCACTCAAGAAGAAGCTACACCTAGAAATCTAGTTGCAAGGGGTCCCTTCAGACATGGAGCTGGACATGGGTTCAGCTCTCTCAATCATCTCCCAATGAACCCTTAAGCAGATTTGTGGTAGAAGCGGCCAACGAGTGAAGCTCAGGCCATCGAATCTTGTCTTGACCGACTTCCAGAATTCCCGGGTAAACGTCAAGGGGGAGGCCACACTTGGGGTGAAGTTTAGGGATTTCAAGGGCCCTTTGGACATTGTAGTTGTTGAGGGCAAGCACATGAGTCTGATTGGACTTGATTGGTTTGATGCTCTGGGAATTCAGGTGACTGGGTTAAACAGTTTGCAAACGGCGAGCCTTTTGGAGGTGTGTAAAGAATTTGCTGATGTCCTCAGTCCTGAGTTAGGGGCATACAAGGGCCCCCTGATTGCACTAAGGTTAGATCCTTCTGTGGCACAGATAAGGATTAAGCCTTGTCGGGTGCCTTTTGCTCTCAAGCAGAGAATAAATGCAGAGTTGGACAAGCTGTTGCAACAGGGCATTTTGGAGCCAGTGGATAGTAGTCCATGGGAAACCCCTATTGTCACGCCACTTAAGGCCAATGGAGAAGTCCACATTTGTGCTGACTATGAATGCACATTAAAAAAAGCTCTCCAGCAGCACTCCTATCTGTGCCTGTAGTTAGCCATATTCTGGCGTCTGTATAGAGAGGTTGCATTTTCACCAAATTAGATTTGGCCCAGGCCTATCAGCAACTGCTGGTGGACAATGCCACGCAGAGGCCCAAACCATTGTGACTCACCAGGGAGCCTTCAAAGTGCGAAGGCTACAGTTTGGGGTGAATGTAGCCCCTGGCATCTTTCAGAGCATGATGGAATGCATGCTCCACAACATTCCGGGTGTATGCCCATATTTTGATGATCTCCTCATAGCTGGGGACAGTCGAAAAACTGTCTGACAGGCTCCGGGCCGTGTTGTGGCGATTCCGCGAAGCGGGGCTGAAGCTCGAACAGGAGAAATGCAAAATTGGAGTCACTTCCACAGAATTCCTGGGGTTTTGTATAGATGCCAAAGGCATCCATCTTGCTGAATCCAAGCTGAAAGCGATTCAGCAGGCACCCAATCCCAAAACGAAGAGTGAGCTTCAAGCCTTCCTGGGACTCCTTAATTTCTACCATGCTTTCCTTCCCCATAAGGCCGCAGTGGCAGAGCCGTTACACTAGCTCTTGGACAAACAGGCTCCATGGAAGTGAACAAATGTCCACAAGAGGAGTTTTGCTGCGGTTAAACCATTGTTGTCTTCTAATGCAGTGTTGGCTCATTTTAATGAGCAGTTGCCAGTCAGCATAGCATGGGACACATCCCCATACAGGTTTCGGGCTGTCTTAAGTCATCTCAGTGCTAATGGGACACAAGTCCCTATAGCTTACTATTCCAAGACTCTTTCTGCTGCTGAACACAATTACACGCAAATAAATAGGGAGGCATTTGCCATTGTGGCAGGCATCAAGAAGTTTCATGACTTTTTGTATGGCCGCCATTTCATGGCCTTCACTAACCACAAGCCACTTCTGGGATTGTTCATCACCCGAAATCATCTCCCCTAGAATGTTGAGGTGGTCAATATTCCTTTCTGCTTATGACTGTTGCCTGGTTCACAAACCGGGTAGAGAAATGGGCCACGCAGACGGCCTCAGTAGATTGCCTTTAAAGCAATTAGAGCCAGATCATGCACCGACCAACCACATCCTGTCTATCCAGGATTTGCTGGAGTCTCCCCTCAATGCAGGGGATGTTGCTGCAGAAACAGCTACTGACAACACGCTAACACGCGTGTTGAACTGGGTGCTCACAGGATAGCCTGACACGTATCCTGGCACTAACTTCCAGAGTTTCTGGAAAAGGAAGCATGAGTTATCCACCTTTAAGGGTTGTATGTATCCTGTGGGGAAGCAGGGTAGTGATACTGACCTTACTGAGAACTACAGTCCTCGATTCTCTGCATGAGGGACATCCGGGCATAGTCCGGAAGAAGGCAGTTGCGCATAGCTACATCTGGTGACCTGGATTCGATAAAGACATCAAGGCCCAGGTCCAAGGGTATCACATTTGCCAGCAATACCACAAGCTCCTGTATATAGATGGGAGGCCACACAAGCCCCTTGGTCGAGAATACACATTGACTATGCTGGCCCCTTTCAGGGCAACTCTTCCTCATTGTTGTGGACAGTCACTCTAAGTGGCTGGAGGTCATTCCAGTGTCCACTACGATGACTGCCAGGACCATCCAGGTTTTCAGGGGGATCTTTGCAACTCATGGGCTCCCAGATGTCCTCGTCTCCAACAACAGAGCTCAATTTACTTCCTCAGAGTTTCAGTCCTTTTTAAGGGCAAATATGATTAGGCATGCCACATTAGTTCCATTTCACCCGGCCTCTAACAGCCAAGCGGAATGCATGGTTCACACTACAAAAGAATCTTGAAAAGGATCACCCATGGCAACTGGCATCACAGGTTGGCGGATTTCTTCTTCTGCCAATGAACAATGCCTTGCACATCTACAGGCAAGAGCCCAGCTGAGCTTCGATGGGGTCACCGTCTTATCACAAAGCTGGATTGCTTACACCCTGATAGGGTTGCCTCACAGGTGCAACAGCCTAAGACACCAAGGCAATTGCAAGTGGGTGATCTGGTTTGGGCTCACAATTATGGACCAGGGCAACTGTGGGTGGTAGCTGTGGTTTGTAAGGTGACTGGGCCACTTTCTTATGAAGTGGCCTTGGAAAACGGTTGTGTGCTGTGCAGGCATATTGTGCAGGCACAGCTGCATTGGAGGTTACCAAGCCACCCTTCTGCTCCTGACTCTGCTCTCAGGAGGGAGGAGGAACACAATCACGATCATGAATCTCAGTCTCTCAGTGAAAGCGAAGCATTGAGTTCATAGAATGGGGGTTTTGCCAGCAAGGCGGCTCCTAACTCTGGCACTACGTCCATGGGACATTGCACTCAACCGGCTTTTCACACCGCTCCTACTTCGGGCAATGTGCCAATGGGCCATTGCTCTCAATCGGCTTTTCATGCCGCTACTACCTCAGGCATTGCGCCAATGGGACATTGTTCCCAATCAGCTTCTTACACCGATCAGGTGGATTCCATTCCACCACAGAACTTTGGTTTGGGCCTACCGGAATAGGCCGGCCAACTGCAAATGGACAAAGGCTCGGGTCTACCGGGACAGGCCAGCCTTCACGTATTGGCTTCACCTGTATTGGATGGGTCCAATAGCCCTGGTCTGCCGAGCCTGGTAGGCGAGTTTGCAGATCGGGAGCTAGCAGCAGCTCCGAGATATTCGGAGCGGGCCAAAGGCCCACCGAAGTTTTTAAAGGACTACGTGAAGTTTCTGTCATTGCAAGCTTAAAATGCTTATGTATTTTTATTGCAACTGAAATGCTTATGTATGTTCCTTTGAAATTGAAATGCCTAAGTACTTTAATGTTGTGTCTTTGTATGACCTGTAATGTTTGGTATTTTGAATATTGACAGTGAATTGTAAGACTCTTGTACCATTGAATGTCATTGTGTGTCTTGTGAAACGTGTATAGTATTGAACAACAAGAAATATTGTGTATGTGTTAAAGAACCAGGAGGGGAGGGGTATAATGTACTGGCCTTTACTTATGAAACAGATGCAGGGAGCTGTACTGGAAACGTTAGCAGACCATGTGGCCTGCTAGCCAGACTTGCTGTCTGCAAGGTTAATCAGTATGCATTTGAGTGGGAGAATACGGTGCATTCATTGGCTGACACCGCCCAAAGTTGAATGTATAAATAAGGCCAGAGCCATCTTTGTTTGAGTTCTGTTTTGTCTTCAATAAAAAAGTACCTGTTTACTACTCCTGCCTCTTCAATGCTGAACCCAGCAGAAAACAGAACACTCCCATTTCTAGCCTGATGCTTTAACCACTACACCAAACTGACATGCTGGATTTTAATTATAGATGTATCTTAAAACGATTAAGAAGTTATCTCACCCATTTCCCTATTTTGGCAAAAGGGCAAAAAGCTTGGAAATTCAGCAACCTGGGCAGACGGCCAACTTATGTTTCCAAATCTACTCAATTTTCTTGATGTCCTTTACTGAACCCCACATCACCCCACTTCATATGTCATGCAGGTTATAAACCATTTGGAGTACATTCAGATGTGTCTGTGCTTTATTTAAACTAAAAAGATAATAAACGCTTGTTCTTAACCCTTGTTTGGTTTCAGTAGATTATGCTTGGGGTTCAGATGGTCTCTTCCAAGCCCACAATGGTAATTTCTGGAAGACCACATTAATTTCATGGCCTAGGTTTAGGAGGAATAGAGCAGCTGGGGGGTTGTTTTTGAAAGAGTTTAACTTTGCATGGGATTCTTTCTAGCCTCTTCCTTGCAAATGCAGTTTGGTTCTCTTGCAGTTGGCATCAAAATATTCCCAATGGTCCAACAAGAATCCTAACACCATGACTTGATAGAAGGAACATTAAGCCAAATAATGACTATTGGTTTAATTTCCTCCATTTCCATCTGCAGTAGTGGCATTATTATGTTATTTGGCAGGCAGGCAGGCAGGCAGGCAAGCAAAGTGGAGAATGTTTTTGTGCTGGTGAAAGATTTTGAGGGAGGATCTGGACAATGGGGGATAGCAAACAGATGACAAGTGGATTTTCTTGCTTTGGCTCCTGAGCCTCTGCCCAATCTGTTGAATACCTTACTGTCAGTCCTTGCCAAGGAAAACCATCAGCCTAATAGTGTTGTTTCCCACCCATAGGCTGCAATCTGTGGTAATGGTGGTGGGTGAAGACTCAGTGTCAAATAGCATATCCTCCTTCAAATGTGTCTGAGATTACAGAATTGTGACTGAGGTGACAGCATTTCCATTCTTTTCTGTGAAGTAACTGAAATAAATCTGCAGATGAAGAATGACAGAATAACAGAGTTGGAAGGGACCTTAGAGGTCTTCTAGTCCAACCCCCTGCCCAAATAGGACACCCTCTACCATTTTGGAAAAATGATTGTCCAACCTCTTCTTAAAATTTTCCAGTGTTGGAGAACTCACAATTTCTAGAGGCAAGCTGTCCCACTGCTTACCCGTTCTCACAATCAGGAAATTTCTCCTTAGTTCTAGGTCAGGAGTCCCCAACTCCTAGGACACATAACAGTACCGGTCTATTGCCCGTTGGGAACCGGGCCACAAAAGTGGCAGGTGCATGAAGCTTCATTTGCGCATGCACAGGAGCTAGATTGCGTGCATGAAAGCATCCTCTCCCCCCCTCCCATCACTGCCACTGTCACTGCTGCTGCTGGTCTGTGGAGCCAGAAAAATTGGGGACTGCTGTTCTAGTTTGCTCACCAGCCCCCCCTCCCCCATTCTGCCTTGTACCAAACCAGCGCACTGGTGAATCCAGCACAGCATCAATGATAGGTCTCCAGAATATTAAAGAAAGGTCTGAGAATGATTTTTTATTGAAAGCTGTCAGGAAGTAATGAAGTCCTAAATGTTTGGGGTTTTTTTGCATTCCTCCCCTCCCCCCAAGTAATTTCACTTGGTCTAAAGGGGAAAAAGTATTTGCAAAGGAAAGGGCAGCACAAGTTGTCAGGTATGAGGTAATATGCCAATGATAATTAGAAAAGAAACATATATTTTGTAGAAAGCATGTATTCAGCAGTTTGCAGCCACACTGGAGAATTGTATAATATCCAATGTGTTCATTCGTTCCTCAAAAAACAAAAATGAAATAGCTCTCTGAGTATTATGATCTTCCTCATATGTCGGTCTATGACTGTAATTAAAATTTGATTTGATATCTTTCACTTCAAACAGCAAGACAAAGAGATCATGGGTGTGATAAAACCTTGCTTATTTTTTTCTTCTTTGGTAGGAAACAAGACTGAATTGTATCCGAATAGCTCGGAAAGGTAAATATTCTTATATGTTTATTTCCATTTTTTTTAAATCCTGCCTTAATATTTGGTCAATTCAAGGTGATGCTACCACTTCTTAGTCCGTCCTATCAACAACCCTATGAGATGTTGGGCTCAGAGGGATTCATCCAGCTAGCTAAGGAAGGACTAGAACTCACAGTCTCCTGGTTTCTAGCCTGGTGCCTTCACTACTAGATAAAATTTGCTCTGTTTTTGGAAGTGGTTGGTCCTTGTCTACTTCTAGGGCTGAGAGAGAAAGAAACTGGCCCAAAGTCACCCAGTCAACTTTCAAGCTTAAGGAAAGTCTAGGACTCATGGTCTCCTGGTTTTTAGCCAGACACCTTTGTCACTATACTAAACTGTCCCCCTCTTCCTCCTCTTCCTTCTTATGCTTTGTGAAATCTCTCCATTTTGGGGGGGGGGGTTGTTTTTGTTCTACATAAGAGGCAGCCTTTGGAGAAATTACTCTAAAATTCAGCTATTAAAAGCAATCTATAATAACAATCTGCATCAAGGATGGGCAGTTGTTGGGTGATAATGCAAGATGAGCAGGACTGTGCTGTATATGTTGTGGGGGCAGAATTTTCTGGTGCTAGTTCTCTAAATTTTGGAGAAAAGTTTTGAAGAACTGATAGGACAATGGGGAAAGAGACATTCAAAAGGTGCAGAAAAGAGATTCAGGACTCCACTGATCTCTAAAATTATGATTGCTGATTCCGGGTATACAAAGTGCTTTATAGATCACCATATACCACAGGTCGGCAACCTGTGGCTCCGGAGCCGCATGCGGCTCTTTGAGCCTTCCCCTGTCGCTCCCAGCCTCCTCTGCCTTTGCAGAGAGAGACAGAGACAGAGAGAGGCAATTGCGCTTCCCTGCTTCTCTCTCTCTCTCTCTCTCTCTCTCTCTCTCTCTGTGTGTGTGTGTGTGTGTGTGTGTGTGTGTGCTTTCTGGGCGGAGCTCCTCCCTTTGCTGCGTCTCAGCAGGAAGCAGGAAGGGCAGGAGAGAGCTAGCTAGCCCAGCTAGGCTGACCCAGGAATTCTGGGAGTTGAAGTCCATGAGTCATAAAAGAGATGAGGTTGCCTACCCCTGAGATTGTTGGAGAACAACTTGAAGCTTGCCAGGTGAGCAGCAGATGGGGGGGGGAGAAAGAGAGAGAGAGAGAAAGAGAGAGAGGGAGGGGGAGAGAGAGAGGAAAGAGAGAGAAAGAAAGAGAGTGGGGGAAGAGGAGTGGCAGACCAAGGGCAGAGAGGGAGGGAGGGAGAGAGACACACAGAGAGAGACCCTTTTGATATCTAAAATGAAGATAACACTGCATATATCCTTTTTTTACCTGTGTGTGTATGTAATTTTATTCTCTTAAAGCATTCTCTCGGTGATCATTGTTTTAATAGTATGGATATTTCCAAGAGTCATATTTTTACTTTTATTTTTAATGTGTGTGTGTGTGTGTGTATACACACACACACATACACAAACACTCTCTCTCTCTCTCTCTCTCTCTCTCTCTCTCTCTCTCTCTCACACACACACACACCTATAATAAAGATAAAAAAGGATATATGCAGTGTTATCTTCATTTTAGATATCAAAAGGGTTTTGCGGCTCCCGGTGTTTTGTTTTTGGTGGGAAACAGGTTCAAGTGGCTCTTTGAGTGTTTTGGGTTGCCTACCCCTGCCATATACTATAGGATTAGGTCCATGCCTACAAGAAATTTGCTATCTAAATACCAGCGGAGAATAAGACTAGAAAGAGAGCAATCTAGACAAAGGGAATAGAGAGATCCCCAAGTTCACTGAAAGATGTTGTGATGGGCAATTGCCTTGTGATATGTAGTTTTAATGTTGGGTTGAAATGTTTTCTCTTTTTCAGTCTTATTCTCAGGGTCCTTGAGGATTTGTTTCTTTATTTTATTTATTCCATTTTTGAACCACCCATCACCCTCACTTATCTTCTTTCTGATAGCTGTTTTGTGTTTTCTTGATGGAAGTGGCAGAGGGTGCTACTTGCTAGTCTTTCTTCATATTTCTCAATCTGAACAAAAGGAGGTCCCTCCTGGTCATGTCCTATAGAATGGAAGGGAAGTTAGGGGTGCCAGGGGGACTGTAGACTGAGTGAGAGAGAACTGTATGATGGAAGACAAGATATTTATGTATAATCCTTGGTGACCTGGATCTGGAGATTTTCCATCTTTAACTCTGCCTATGGATACACTTTACAGTTGGGACACAATCTGAGGGTCCTTGTGGACTGATGACTCTTAGTTGAAGAGGAGGTGGCAGTCATGGCTACTGTAGGTTGTACTAATCGTGTCTATTCCTGGATTTGGAAGCCTGGCTCATGATGACTTAGTCATCTCCCATTTCAATTGCTGTAATGTGCTCTATATGGGGCTGCCCTTGAGGATTGTATAGAGTTTTCTTAGTGTAGTTCATTAATATATTGTTCCTTTGATTCAAGATATGAAATGCCGTAGATTTTTAGTTTTGTATTCAATCCCACTTTAAAATAAAAGAATTTCTTACCAATATGTATGCAAAAGAAGTACCTTACACAGTATAAACTCAATCTGCTCATCAGAAACTTTGAAATACACATTCCTTTTGATGATGAAGCCTAATTCAACTCATTTAGGGGCATATTGTAGACCAGATTTGTTCATTTGTATACTTAGGGGCAATGACTAGAGGTTTTGTGTATCTTGCTTTTAATTGCAAAAGACACACAGATGGATGATTCCTGCCAAATTTCCACAAGGGCAGTTCAAAGTATCATCAAAACAATGACATCAACTGCTAAATAATTCACCATGTGAATTCAGAAGACCAGTTGCTTGTGATTTAATTGAAAAAAAGAAGAATCTCTAGACAAATTTTGACTAGGTTGGAAAACGTCATGGTTTTTAAAATGTCAACCATATAAGAGATGTATGTACATCTATGTCAAACATCTGCTTGTCAGACATCAACAATACATAGTTCAGATTTGGTTGTTTGAGCAGCAAATCAGCTCTATAAATAAATAAGAAATAATTCAGAATGTGGCACATTCACTCTTTTTGGCTCTGAGAACTACAGAAAATAAGAACTACAGTATTACAATTGGGTTATGGGAGGAGTGGCATTTTTATTTTACAGTCATGTATATCATTGGAGGATAATTTAGTAGTGGAAAAGCATAATTTCTATTGCCAGCAGAAGTAATCAGAGGAGCATTGTAACTGTATGCAAGTTTAGCAATCTACCCACCAGCTGTAACATGTTTAAGAAAATGAGAAGTTGCTATGGAAAGAAGCATCAGAACTGATAACACATTTATTAGGCACAGAGCTTCCTTTATCTGTTATTTCCTGGGTGGTCTGCAGATTGCACACAATCCTTGAGCATCCTTCTGATGGCTCTGGAACCCCTCAAATTTTACCACTAAAATTAGCTTCAAGAAGAGCATGTTTCTTTGGGAATTCACACAGTTCTCTCACTCTTTATCTCTCCAGAGAGCAGAACATAGACAATGTATTTCAATGGTACATTCCAGGTTTTAGTTGAAAGTTTTTCAATTATCAGAAAGTTTGACAAGGGAACCAGTGATTCAAACAGGGTGTGGGTTTTCCTCCACTGAAAGTAATCAAGCTGAAGCTAGAAAGTCATCCCTTAAGGATGGCTTAATTGGAATTCCATAGTGAAGCAGAGGTTGCCTCAATCATCTAAGTGTCTCCTACCAATTCTACATCTCTAAAATATGGCAATAAGAATTCCCCATTCCCATTTTTATGCATTTTTTATTTTATTTAAACTGATAAGAACCATAACTCCATAAGCTCCATGAATAATTAAATGCAAAGGTAGTACTTCCTTGGATTGAACTCAGTTGTGAGTGACACCATGAACACATCCTTGAATAATGAAGCAGTTCTCTATTGATTTCTTCCAGAATGTTCTTTTGATTCCACAATATAATGTCTGTTTTGGGGATTTCTTTTTGGTCTCCAACTCAAACACTAACCAAGTCTATCCTGCTTAGTTTTGGGGGGAGATCAACTGGCAAGGTGCTATTGCTAACCTGCTATAACAATCTTTAAAAATATCTCAGATGATGTCCAGCAGTCTTGTTCCTATTTCCTCTGAGGATGCACGCAAATTATGTGCAAGAAAGGAGAAGCTCGTGGTGTTACTCTCCTATTTTCATGTTCTCTTGATCCACCTGTTTGCCATTTATCTCCTACAGCTGCCTGTAAAGAAAGCAAGCGTCCCTTGGAAGTTTCCCAGCACTCGGAGGAAATGGGCCTCATTCTGGGTATCTGTGCTGGAGGACTGGTGGTGTTGATCATCCTTCTTGGGGCAATCATTGTTGTCATTCGGAAAGGGTAAGGAAGCATTTTGAGGACTTTGTTCTTGCTATCATGCAGATAGCTCCACCCACTTTCCAACAAACATACCTCTCTTTGGAGCTGAATCTGACTCATCTTCCTTTTAGAGATTAGCTACTTAGTCTAATGGAAGAATGTAAATGCTCAGAGAAGAGGCAATCAGGTCATCTATGGGGACTTGGGCAAATTTTCTTGATTCATTTCTTAGTAGAGCTGTGCAGTGCTTTGGATTTAACTTGGAAGAGATGCTATGGAATCTGAGGAACATGAACCCAGCACTCTGTATGCAACACATTACAAATGCTGCATGATGTTGGGAGCTGTTTTATGACATCCCAGGAAGGTACTGTGTTCATGTTTCCATGGATTCCAAAGTAATTCTTCTGAATTTAACATGAGGATTGCATAGCCCTACATTTTAATACAACCCAGCATCATTCACTTTATTCTTGCTAGATTCTTTATTCTTACTTTAAGAAGAGACTGGACAACATTTGTCTGAAATGGTATAGGGTTTCCTGCTTGAGCAGGTAATGGGGGACTAGAAGATCTCCAAAGTCCCTTCCAACTCTGTTATTCTGTTAGATCAGATCAGGGCTTATTGACATCAGGGTGGCAAACGTCTTTGTCCTTTTTCGCAAGGGCATCCATCATGTGGCTCCAAGAACTACAGGCCCTGATTCCTCCTGACCAGGTGCGTACACACCAGACGCTAGGAAAATTAGTTGCTGCATCGGAGTATATGGCAGACGCATCTTTCCATTCTGCCAGGTATTCCGCAAGATTCATCGCTGCCACTGTCTCATCCCGCAGCTGCTGTGGTTAAAGCAGTGGAGAACAGACTTAAAATCCAAATGGCACCTATCTACAGCCACGTATAGTGGGACACACCTGTTCGGCCCTATACTCAAGCCGTACCTTATAGAGGCGAAGGATAAGCGCAAGATTCTTGTGCACCCCTCTAAGAGGCCGGATAGGAGGCCTCAGCAGGAATTCCGTAGGCAGGCCTTTCGGGAGTGGAGGCAGCCCTTTCGGTCTGGGCAGTCCTGGGAATGGCCCAGAGGTTCTCGATCCTTTTCTCCCAGACAGGATCGACAGCAGGACCACCAAAATCCTGGAACCAGGGGTCAATTCCAGTCTAAGCATCCCTTTCGAGGGGCCGGGGGCCGCCATTACAGGAAGTCCAAGTGACGCCAAGGTGGATCCTCCTATAAGCGGTCGCTTAGTGCTGTTCAGCGACATTTGGGAGGCCACCACCAGCAACTCTTGGGTAAGGGAGACCATAAGATACGGTCTCACCCTAGAATTTCTTTCCATCCCTCCAGACCATTTCATACAGTGTCCCACCTCAAGAAACACAAGCAAGGCCGACTTCCGGTGGCGCTGCGCTGTGCCGATGGCGGCTACTTTGTAGCCGTCCATCTGAGACTGTAAACACTGCGGTGACAGCAGACATCAGCTGTCCCGCGGTTTGAAACTTTTTTCCCGGGCAAAGGGAAAGAAGTGAGTTTTTTTCCTTGGATAGTGGTAGAGCCCTCAAGATCTCAAAGATTTTTTGGGGGGGGGGGTTGAAGGGTGAGCACCCACAGAGTCCGAGGCATTCTCCACTTCTCAGACGCCTTTGTCCCTTTTTGGTTTTTTTTTGGGACAAAGCAAGACGCCGCTTCCACATCCGCAATTAAAGTGAACTGGTGAGTTGATTTTGAAGCGGACAGAGCTGATCAGCGGAACAAATTTATATGTTAAATTTGGACTTTAACTCTGGAGAAGAACAATCTTTTCCTTTTCTTTACTTTAAGGGAAATTAAAATGGCGATAAGAGGTTTCTCTTTCTCATGAAAGGAAAGTGAGGATAGGACTTTCATTTTTTAATTATTTTTTTTTGTTATAAAGTTTCAGCAACTTTCGGGATTCTGGGTGTTTGCATGAGTAGGATAAATATTCTTTCTTCTTTTTAAAAATAGAAGAGGGTTTTTCTTTTCCCCTCTTCTTTTTTTTTTGGTCTTTTGGATTTTTCAAGAAGGAGAAAAACTTTTTAAAATGGCTTCGAAGCGTCAAGCGATCTCTGCTGTGCCTAAGGTGGCTTCCTCTCCAGCAATACTGACAGCTCAACAACCTAAACCTAGATCACCACCACCCTCTCCGCCTGTACCACCACTTACGGTAAAAGATATTCAAGATGTTATGGGTAATGTTGTGTGCCAAATTAGAGAAGAAATGAAGGAACTTTTAGAAGAGAGAAATAAAGTTATGAGGGAGGATATAGTACAGGCTTTGCAAGGACTCGCCTCTGTTGTTGAAAAGCTGGACTATCGTATTGAGGATGTTGAAGATAAAGTGGATTTATTGGAAGACCATGTTGAAAGTGTGGAAAAAACGGTGGAGATTTCACAGGATGAAATTGTTATGTCTCAGTATAGAGAAATGGAGTTCGCTTTAAGAATCAGAGGTTTGAGGGAAAATATGCAAGAAAATCTGAGGGAGGTGGTGGCAGGTGATATTGCTGTGATATTTGAGAGGGAACCAGAGGAGATATTGAGAGAAATAGAAAAAATATTCAGAGTTAACTCGTGGATTGCAAAGCAGAGAAATTTACCAAGAGATGTGGTGATTTATTTTGGAAAAAGATCTTTACGCAATGGAATTATACAAGCATTTTACAATCAGAGATTTCAGATTGCTGCTCAGGATGTTAAAGGAAATTCCATCAAAAATTTTAAGAAGAAGGAAGGATTTTGATTTTCTATCAGATGACCTTAAAAAACGACAGATGCCGTTCAGATGGGATATCCCAACTGGAATTGTGGTGAGCCATGCGGGGACACGTTATAGACTTAATACTGTTTCAAAGGCAAGAGAGTTTTACATTTCTGTCCTGGGAGCTCGCTCATCATCACCTCCACGGTCTAAAGTTCATGATGTGAAAGAGGGAGAGCAGTTGGTTGAAGATGTTGTATCAATGAAAGTTGGAAAATCACAGGCTGAGTTGTTACAGCAGTCTGCTGAGATAAAAGAACAGAGAATGACCCGAGCAGCTCATAGATGAAAAGAAAAGGAGCAACAGAAGATGGAAATAAGAGAATCTACATAAGAATCTGTTTCTGAGCCTGTGGGAGGAGCAAGACCTAAGAGATCTTCGACGATTCGATCTTCGATGGTAGATCTTCAAGCAGTTTTCTCCAGGCTTGCAGCCGGAGGAGATGGCAAAGCTCCTGACCTGGAATGTTAATGGCCTTAATTCTCCACAGAAAAGAAAGAAAATATTTCATTATTTGAAGCAATATAATAATGATATTGTTTGTTTGCAGGAAACTCATATTATTTTAAAGGATCAAAAATATTTGATTAATGCTCGATTGGGTTCACATTTTGTATCTTCTGCTCCTGGGAAAAAAGGGGGTGTTGTTATTTATGTTAAGAAAAATTTGTCAGCTAAATTAATAGACTCTGATTCTCAAGGAAGATATGTTATGATTGAAGTGGGATTATATGGCAAGAAACTGCTTATAGTGGATTTGTATGCTCCTAATCAACAACAAAAACAGTTTTATAAGCTTTAACATCAAAAATTGACTTTATTGGACTATAAATCTGTTATTTTGATGGGGGATTGGAATGGAGTTTTGGATATACTTAAAGACAAGAAAGGACTCTCTACTTTCTTCAAGCAAGCTAAACTACCTAAGGCCTTTTTTGATTTGAAAGATGACTTGGAATTGAGAGATATTTGGCGGGAACGTAATATGGAAGAGAGAGATTTTACATTTTTTTCTGACAGGCACCAATCGTTCTCAAGAATTGATTTTTTTTTTACTACTACGGATTTATATTTTAGTGTTAAAAATGTAAAAATTTTCCCAAGGACATTGTCTGATCATGGAATTAATTGCTGAGAAGGAGGAGAGAAAATCTTGGAGGTTGAATGAAAATTTATTTAGATATGAGGTGAATGTACAGAAATTTAGAGAATATTTAAAGGAATTTTTTATTTTAAATATGTCTAAGGGAACTTCAATGGCAATGGTTTGGGATGCCAGTAAGGCTTATATGTGTGGGGGTTTGATTCAAATGAATAATGTTTATAGGCGAAAACAAATGCAAAAATGTAAAGAATTGGAGGATGAGATTAAAATAAAAGAAAAAGTATTAATTATGAATCCTTTGGATAAGAATGTAAAGGCTTCCATAAATTTGCTTAAAACACAATTTAATATGTTAATGGCTGATCAGGTTGCAACTAATTTACATTATATGAAACATAATACATTTTGTAACGCAAATAAATTGGGCAGGTGGTTAGCTTATCAATTAAGGAAGAAACAGAGGTTGAGAATTATAGATAAAATAAATTATAATGGTAAAGTGGTTTTTCAGAAAGAATTGATTAAAAAATCTTTTTTAGATTTTTATACAAAATTATATATGGGTCAGAAGGTACAGAGTTTGGATATAGATAAATATTTACAAGATGCTCATTTTCCTAAATTAACAAATGATCAAAGAGATGAGATCAATGGATTGATTACTTCACAGGAAATTATTATGGCAATTAAACAATTAAAAGTTGGTAAAGCACCTGGTACTGATGGATTGACATCAATTTATTATAAAAATTTAAGTGAGGAGATGATAGAGCCTTTAAAGGAACTTTTTAATAGTATATTATTGGGTTTAGAGATACCTCCATCTTGCAGAAGGGCTTTTATATCCTTGATTCCAAAAGAGGATCAAGATCTTACTCTACCTAAAAATTATAGACCTATATCTCTTTTGAATATAGATTATAAAAATTTTTCAAAAATTTTAGCGAATAGACTTATGATTGTATTGAATCAAGTGATACATACTGATCAAACAGGTTTTATAACTGGGAGATATATGAAGAATAATGTTAGACAAATCATTAATTTAATAGAATATTTGGATAAAAATAATCAGATTCCTGCAGGTTTGATTTTTTTAGATGCTGAGAAAGCTTTTGATCAGTTAAACTGGCA